TCCGGGCCATCGATGTCGACGCCTTTTCTTTCTCTCTGGAAGTGTTCCCTCTTCGGGGTGTCTAGATGTACTAAGTCGGATTCGACTGCTATATTCTACCCATATTTCTGCGACTCGCTTAAACTCTGCGTAGCGACAGCGTTGTCTCGTTATATAGCAATTACCTCCCCTCTTCACCCTTCTCGTTCCGGTCAGTTATTGATTTATGTCAGACCTCACAAACCAGTCTCGTCTCCTACTTTGGCGCGATGGATTAAATGGTTGTTGGCATTGGCAGGGGTGAATTCGACCTTCGGAGCTCATTTGGTTAGAGGCGTCTTCATGGCGAGCGCATATCTCCAGGACATTATGCGTTCAGCCGACACGTCCCGAGAAGATACCTTTCACCAATTTTATTTTAGACCGGTGGATCATGCTTCTTTTGCTTTGCTGTCTGGTCGTTAAAACAAGCAAATATGAAGCCTCCTGTCATGTTATAAAATTGTAGATTATACTAGCTATAGTGTAACTATAATAATTTTATTAATGACAGGAGGCGATTAATAAACTGCCACAAATTGGACCAGTTCATTTAAATGAGGAATGAATGTGACATCACAACAAATATCCATATTTGTGAGGAACTCATATTTATTCTTCATGCTCTCCCTCATATTTAATATAAATATGTCAACTTGAAAAATGATAGAGATTTGGCAACACTCTTTTCTAGAATTGATTGGAAGCTGCAGATGGACAGATATTTTAGCCACCTTCTTGTTGTGTACAGCAGTGGAGCCCAGTGATATGTCTGCTTAAAAAGAAACTTGCAAAAGAGCGATCTTCACTTTTAAAGTGTATCATTAAGCACTAAAACCACTTTTCATCATTTTAAAATTCATAGTGCAGAGAGCACTCTTTCTTTCTGCACAAATTGCTGCAGAAAATGCACAAAATAATAAAATGTATTTTAATCCACACCTAAATGAATCAACCTATGACTTAGTGGTTTAGTCCTGTGGAGCTAAATTGCAGTTGCACTGTCTGGGCTAGTTTAGAACGGGAGGCTTGCAAAGGCTTCAGAGAAGAGATCTGCAAGCTATTTTTAGATATATGCCAAATAAAAAAAAAAAAAAAAGCATAATTAAATGTGGAGTCTTATTCATTAAATAAAACTCCACAAGTTAATCGCGGATGGATCAATTCATTAGTTTCCATCATTGAGTATGTGCCGAGTACTTTGCTTGAATGTGTGTGGTAGGTAAGCAGTTTATCACTTGACTCCTGCATCGTTTTAATTGCTTCATAAATGCTCACATTGCTACCATATACCATCTCATGCTCTTCCTTCAGAATATACATATGAAGCTCCATTAACCTTTTCTGGGAAGAGCTAGCATTGAAAAAGCTGCTCTGTGAGAAGACTTGGCTTTATGCCAACTACATGTGTAAAATCCAGAAGAATAAATGTGTGTGTTGGTAATGCTTCTTTTTAACACGGCAATTATCAATGCAGGAGTGAGCTCATCCTCTGGTTCTTGGGACCAATTAATATTTGTCTGCAGCAACTTATTGTACAGCCGCTTTTTTTTATTGGTGGGGCGCCTATTCAGTGAAAAGACCATCTTTTCTATAAAGCTTTATATCGTCATGTAGCCAAACCCATTTCATGGATCCCATTGGAACCTTTTAAAATAAACTATCAACCTTTAGAGCAGCTTTCTTTCTCGTCTCTAAAGTGCATGCATTAAATTCTTGTTTTTTTTTTTTTTTTTCTCAGCCTGTTTTTATTGATATCAGAAATAACAGTAGATTTTGTGTTCGTTTGGTACTCTACTACTCACTAAGGTGAACACAAAAAATAAAAATTTATAAAGTTTATTAAAAAGAATGAGGGACGTTTAATACTCTAGTTTACCAACAGTCAATGATGATCCGTGTTATTTAGAAACATATATGGGTGGGCATACACTACATTAGCTAGATCTATTGTCTTGTTTTTGGTTCTGGCCCTTGCCTCCTGGTCTCCTATTTGTTTTTGACAGACCTTAGAAGCTGTTGACGGACATATTCAAGTAGCCATGAAGATGAGGGATTGTGTGTGTCACCAAGTCCCTCTGAGGTTTTGATGAAGAGTCAGAGGTCATTGTCTCGCTCTATCTATCCTCCATGCCTCCTAATTAATGGATTCAGGGAGCATGCATAGACATTGTTCAGACATGTAAATAAATAAAAACAAATAAACACAGGCTTTGTCTGCCTAAATTCAGAGGGGCCCTGAGGATCAATGTCAAAGGTGCATGCTTTCACACAGGTAAAATACCTCAGGGTTCTGATGGCAGGGGGCAGCCGGATGGGGGAAACACTTTAGAAGGATTACTGAAATCCTCTAGCCACCACTCAACCTCTTAGAGGTGCCATCTATGTCTGTCCTGCTGAGATTCAGACTGCCAGCAATATCTGGGTGTGAATCTGTCCAGCACAATAAACTACAAAAGGAATAGAGGCCATTAATGGGACAGTGATAAATCACCTGGGTGATTTAGTATGGAGGATCTATGCCTTCCAGGTCCTCAAGACATGCATACTTTATAGTCTTTTTAATATGCAGCGAACTACAGGGGGTGTAAAGAATTCTTTAAAGTTATTAATAGAACACCGCTATTTTTTGCTGTCCTGTACTATAGGTAGGCTAATAATAAAATAGTAAGAAGGCTAGTTGGATATACAGGAAAACAGCAATATCAGCTATTAATCAAAATGAATAAGTCATACAGCTTCTGCGCCAATTGTTTTTTAATGTGTGTGATAAAAAAAAGAGTATAAAACATTTCTATTTATCTATTAAAAGGACACTCCAGATCTCTAAAACACTGTAGCTTGTTGAAGTGCGTTATGTGTTAAGTGTGTGTCCTTTTTAATTTGACAAAAAGTAAAAATTTCAACTGAAATTGGAACTTTTATAAACTATCCTTGTTTACAACTTCCTGGTATTCAGACACAACCAGTCCTATTACCAGTCCTCAGTGGAGCAAGACATTCAGGGAATTGCTCAGAGTGCTGGTCTGGGTTGGTTTAGAAGGGAGGGCTTGCAAAGGCTTGAGAGATCTGCAGATTATGCAAACGGTTTTGAGATATTTCCCAATTTAAAAAAAAAAAGCATAATAAAATGCATGCATATATTCATTGGAGATATATAGACAATCTATTATTATTATTATTGGGGGGATTTTTGGACAGAGGAGTGTCCCTTTAACTTATTTTAGTGCATCTTCTAGCTACAGTATTCTTTGTTCTGTGGGGTTGGCCATCTCTAGTCTACTTTTGTCAGAAGTATTACTTACCGTATATACTCGAGTATAAGCCGACCCGAATATAAGCCGAGGCCCCTAATTTTACCCCCAAAAACTGGGAAAACGTATTGACTCGAGTATAAGCCTAGGGTGGGAAATGCAGCAGCTACTGGTAAATTTCTAAATAAAATTATATTCTAAATAAAATTATATTAATTGAATATTTATTTACAGTGTGTGTATATGATGAATGCAGTGTGTGTGTATGAATGCAGTGTGTGTGTATAAATGCAGTGTGTGTGTATAAATGCAGTGTGTGTATGAGTGCAGTGTGTGTATGAGTGCAGTGTGTGTGTGATGCAGTGTGTGTGTGTGTGATGCAGAGCCTTGGTGGGGGGGGTGGGCATTTTTATAAAAAAAAAATTTAATATTATTTACATTTTTTTTTTTTGTTATATTATTTTTTTAAATTTTTTTTATTATTATTTATATATTATTTATTATTATTTTTATTATTTATATTTATATATTATTAATGTATTTATTTGTTGTCCCCCCTCCCTGCTTGATACATGGCAGGGAGGGGGGCTCTCCTTCCCTGGTGGTCCAGTGGCATTGGCAGTTCAGTGGGGGGAGGAGGGGGGCTGGCAGAGCTGTTACTTACCCCTGCTGCAGCTCCTGTCAGCTCTCTCCTCTCTCTCCTCCTCCGCGCCGGTCCGTGCAGCACCTCTGTCAGTTCACACTGTAACTCTCGCGAGAGCCGCACTATGACCCCGCGGCTCTCGTGAGACTTACACTGGGAGCTGACCGAGGTGCTGCACGGACCGGCGCGGAGGAGGAGAGAGAGGAGAGAGCTGACAGGAGCTGCAGCAGGGGTAAGTAACAGCTCTGCCAGCCCCCAGTCTGTATTATGGCAATGTAAATTGCCATAATACAGACTGACTCGAGTATAAGCCGAGTTGGGGTTTTTCAGCACAAAAAATGTGCCGAAAAACTCGGCTTATACTCGAGTATATACGGTATATGCTAAAAGCATGGACTGGAGTCTGCTGGGTGCTGCTTCCCACAGCTCTTTTTCCTGTATGGAGAGTTATTTGTGGCCGTTGATAAATCTCAGCCAATGAGCTAAGCCCTGCAGTGCCAATTCAATGTTTTTCTATGGGAAAATTTGATGCGGCGAGCAGGTACTCTGAGTAGCATTAGATTAGACGTCCAATGACGTGGCTTCTCTGGCGACAGTCCAACCTAATGATGCTATGGGAGGAGGAGAGGTAAACAGCACAGAGGGAGCCTAAATGCTGGAATCTTTTATTTTATTTTAAAAGCTTTTTATGCTGAATGTGGATGGGGACACCAAAGCATTAGGAATTCAGGTTTGTATTATTATTGCCATTTTTATAGCGCCAACGGATTCCGTAGCGCTTTACAATATTATGAGAGGGGGGATGTAACTATAAATAGGACAATTACAAGAAAACTTACAGGAACAATAGTTTGAAGAGGACCCTGCTCAAACGAGCTTACAGACTATAGGAGGTGGGGTATTAGAAACGTTAGGACAGGATTCATAATGCTTCAGTGTTCCTTTAAGCTATTGAATAATTAATACTGCTACAGAGCTTCCTCACTCTGCTAATATGATATCCCTCTCCAAAATCCCCATTTTCTGAGAATCTACTGGTCCCCGCCCCATCTTCTTCCACAGCAGAAGCTGCACATGTTTAGACAGAACTAGTGTCAAGGACAGAACCAGACAGCAAGCATCGTGATCTAATTAATTGCATTGCCAGCTGGAGGCAGGAATTTGTTTTGAATGGTCTAAAGGCAAATCACAAGTCAGTCAAATTCCAAAGGTCAGTTTTATTTTATGTTGTTGTTTTACTTTAAATAAAATTATAAATTAACATTGGTGGGAAAACAAATAAAAACATTCAATATAAACTTGAAGTGTGTTACAGAAGACTAAGTTAGCAGGAAGGCAGGTGGGAACTTGAAAGGAAGCAAGCAGAAAGATAAGTGAGTGTAAACACAGGGCAATGAACAGGGTACTGAACAGACTAAGTAAAAGGACAAGGACTTAGTCCGCAGGAAGGAATGTATTACCAGGGCAGGGTAATTGTTTCTTAGTCCCCTAGGAGACATCAGTACACTCTGAAGCAATGCTCTAGTCACTGTCCAGGCTGTCAAATGGTTAACAATTGGCAATGGCTAGGAGACCTAGCCAAAAAAGAAGCACTGCAAGTACTGGCATTACTTCAACATTTTCTCATTTCACAGCTGGAATTCCTCTTTCCAACTTACGTCAGCCTTCATCTGAAGCAGTTTCTGAACATAGTTATTACCTGAAAATAAGACACGGTTTAGGAGTATGTTTTTTTATATTAACTATAACTAAGCAGTGCATTTTCTTAAGGCATTCCATTATATTAACGTTGCAGCCTCCAGCTATTTCTACAGATGGAATATATATATATATATATATATATATATATATATATATATATATATATATATATATATATATATATATATATATATATATATATATATATAATTTTAAGATAACATTTTCCTCCAAAACTGCAAGTGATCGGACCATGATATATATTTAGGACAGGGGTAGGCAACCTTCAGCACTCCAGATGTTATGGACTACATCCCCCATAATGCTCTTACACCCATAAGGCTGCAAAGCATCATGGAAAGTGTAGTCCAAAACATCTGGAGTGCCGAAGGTTGCCTATGCCTGATTTAGGATGTAGTATATTCAACTAGTGAATTGAAAACATCAAAGATAGGAAAAAAAAGAAATCAGCAACTTCTGCTTTAACCCATTTTGCATTAAAAACTCAAATTTTTTCAATGGATTTGCCTTTTTAAATTGATAAATCAATTCCATATAGTAACCTATAAGATTTCAATCCTGGACCTCTTCATACCACTGTACCCATCATTAAATTTATATAGCAGTTTTCTGGGAATTACATCTGAACGTGCCTTATATGCACAAACCATAAGGCCTTATTCTTAGCAGGCAGATCAACGTGTTTTGAATGCTTTAAAGTGTTATCAGTGCATGTAAAGTTCTCCCCAGCAACAACATGTCTATATTTTGTCAATTAATTTGATTTGTCATGAAAACTAGACTTGTGCATCAGATTCCTTTTAATCTAGGCCCAAAAGAATCGATATATTCAGGATTTACCCATGGAGTCTCATTCAATGAGTAAGAATCCATTGGTAAATCCAGGGTGAATCGATTCGTTCAGGTGAGATCTAAAAGGAATTTGATTTGTTCGTACCACCTGAAAAGAATTTGTGCACAAGTCCAGTAAAAACCTGAATTTTGTTTGTTTTTTATGAAACCCAGTGACTTTAACACAAAAGAAGCAAAGTGATCAGAAAGTACTGCGTCAAATTGTTAACAAAACACGTGCCAAAGGGAGCAGCCAAGTGCATCTGCTGGTACTTAGACATGCACAGAGGTGCAGTTAACTCCAGATGAACAAGTGTTTTGGAAAAGTGGTGCTGGATTAACTCTTAAATGCAAAGTGGTAGAGACTTATAAATATAAATGTGGAAAGGGTGATATTTTAAGAAGTCTGCATTATTGGAAACACTAATAAAATCTTCAAAGGTTTAACTACTCAGACAACTGCAGTACAACACATGCTTGGACCATGGAATCCCACCATCTAGGTGCCAAAGGGGCATGGGCTGTAAAAAGAGTTAAAGAGAAAGAATGATTTAAGTCCAACATCCAAAATAACAATGGCCAAAGGGGCATAAGAAAGAAGCATGCCATTAATGAATGAATGTTCAGTCAATTGAAACATATTGACGTCGATTTTAGGTATTTAATGATCTCTCTATCAGAATTTCCATTGATTATACAGGACTAGTCAGTGCCTCCAATTAAAGCCAGTTTCTTAAGATGCTTCATAGTTTATCTCCTGCACATTCCAAAGTGTCAAACTTCATCGGGCAAGGAATGGGTAAGGTAAGACAAGTGAGTAACACTGTGCCAGAGATGGACAGTACATAAATTAGCATAGAAAGCAAAGAAAATAAAGCTAGATGACTTTCATAGAGAGAGAAAGGTAAGTCAAAGAAGGGAGAGAGATTAGAAGACACACTTCGTTGTACAGTAAAATCATCCTTAAGGCAGTATTCTCTATAATTTTAAATACTCTCTCTGGCTACATTCGGAGAAGATATCTTGTGGCATCAGTAGGGCATTGTAACGACACACAGTCACAATACACTTAGACTTGTATAATTACAAAATTTATGCAACAAATTTCCTGTGCATACGAGTCTGTTGTCTCCTTCATATGGTTGACAAATGATGAGGTGAAAAGTCCTTTCTCCTCCATGTGAGCTGTTGGGAGAAACTGAGGGAGAGAACAGGGAACCCTGAGGTAAAAAAACATGGCTTTGTCTCCCCACTTGTCAAGTATGGCTGCTGCAAGAGCCAATTTTTACTCCCACACTGCCAGAGAATTTATCCTAGTCCTTGGTTCACTCTAAAAAGAAGCTGCAAGACATTGGGGTAGGGAGTGAATAAAACCTTTCCGACCTGCAGACAAGGAAAGCCATGCGGTGTCTTGCTGGCAGCACCTCACAGAGGTCCTGGAAGCCCAGAGGGCTGCATTCCTTGCTCCACCCACAGAGCGGAGGAGGAGGTATTGCGCTGCATGCGACTATGGATGCGTCTAAGCCTCAGTAGGTATAGCACAATGGCAAGTAGGACCACCATAAAGCAAACTAAGAACAGGTAGTGGTTGTAAACAAAGGAAGCACCACGCCAGTGTGGATGGTTGCCACGGAAGTGATCTTGTTGAATGTCCCTGAGGGGAGAAAAAAAAAAAATTAGAGGCCAGCAGTTAGGGGGAAAAAAAAAACAAGTTAACAGAGACATCCCATTATACCAAGTTAATAAAAGGACTATTTAACAAAAAAACTCCTATAGTATTAGCTTAACATCTCAACTCCAAATTGCAAGGAAGTTCATTCTGACTGGCAAAATTGAAGTAAACAAACTGATTTTGATACTCTGCTATAGTCTCAGCATGAGCATATTTGCCTTGATATTGACATTCAAATTTGAATTTGCTTCAATTTTGAGATTAGTGACTAACCCTAATTGACCATAAAGACTGGAGACCAAAAAAATAGAATATACATTTTCACCCATTGTACGTATTTTGAAACACAAATTTACTTTACTTCTTTAATAAAATGTTAACAATTACACATCTGAGATGGATTTTTCTTTCCTTTATGAGATATGAAGTCTAGTTTAACGCCTGGTAATTAACCGGTAGTTCTCCAACTATTGTGGTGTGTAACATTACTTTTACCTTCATTTGTCATCATTTCTTTGATTTGTATGCCCACAATACTATACTGAACATGTTCGAGTACTATAATCACAAAAACACATCCGCACTGTATATAAATCAAATAGTGTGATGGAAAATTGCACTTATCTCTATGGATAGTGGTGACAGCCTTCTCCAGGAATATCCCAGATAATATTCTTTACAAAATGGTATGAGAGCCATAAACAAAATGGAGCATAGAGCTGCAAATCTACAAACGAAAAGACACAAAATAGTTTAACACTGTATGACATAAAATGAAGGCGCAAATAAGGTAGAACTCACCATACCTCATCCTGTGAGTGCTACCTTATTTGCGCCTTTTTTTGAGGTCATACAGTGTTAGACTATTTTGTTTCTTTTCGTTTGTAGATTTGCAGCTGTATTCTCCATTTTGCTTATGGCTGTCATATTAATACTCACACGCTGTACATAAAGTTTCACTCGAGCAATGTGTTGGCAGGACATTTTACAGTACATATCAGTTTTCTCATGTTTTTTGGACTTGACATTGGCTAATGAACGAGTGACAGAATCATTCATTAAAGTGTGAATATTCAGAAGTTTGAAATAATTTAAATTTTTTTTGATAAATAGCCAAATTGAATAGATAGCTCACTAGAGTTTTCCAGTTTGGCTATTTGGCCTAAATACTGAATTCCCAAATACTAAATTCCTAAGTTATTACTAAGTTATTTGCTAAACTGCTCCTCCACAAATGTTCAATATATATTATATTAGAAGCACGGATCTACCCATTATCTCTGGACAGTTGATGAGTTTTACCATAGTAAATCTTCTTTCGTACCTTAGAGGCAGGAATCTAGTCCGATACAGAATGGCTCCCAGCGTCCATTGAACTTCCTTATCATACACTTGCAGCACAGTCTTCAGATTACTGTAATTGGCAGGAAAGGAGAAGCCTGTGTGGAAAACTTCGTACATCCATGCAGACTTGAAGCACTGGTATCTAAGATAGAGGCAAAGAGGAAGAATGTTCTAAACATGATGGGAGAAGTAGGCCTATACTAAAAAGAAGGGCTACAAATCAGCACATTTCTTTTAATACAGGATTTTCTGCATTAGTGTAGAAATGTCTGAATATTAAACTAACAAACATTTGCTTTTCTTAAAAGAACACAATAGATTTCAAACTACTTTAAAAATGTGCTAAATGAAAACTCTTCCAAGATTGTTGATTGGTGGCCCAGGCCATTTCTAACCGTTTCTCACAAGGTATGCAAAAGCTAATAAAGGAACCACATTCAAGGCTATAGATTTCCCTTAAAGTATGTTTTCTCAATAAACAGTCCTGTCAACGTCTGTGTGATGAATGTGTCTGCCACAGTTTGCACCCACCTCTAAAACTATGAAGTACGTTGCATTATACCTGGCTTTTGTTGCTGTGCATTTAAAGAGATACAACATGTATTTATTAGGTGAACCCGTTAAAAACACCACTGTCCCCTACACACAAACGGTCAAAACAATGTAGTTTTCTCGTTTTTAGATCATGTTTTATTAGACCCGCTCCCCAGTGCCAGCATCCCATGATTTTCCGCCATGGGGTTTAGATTGCTGACTGTTTCACTTAGGAACGAGCTGCCAGAGGTGAATGTCCCAGCTGTTAGAAGAGAATGTGTTCACTGAATGCATGTAAACATTTACAAGTACTCCAAATGTTACTCTTATGGCCGAGTAGCACAGTGAACTTTGCATTAGACTAGTTAGGATGATAATTTTCCAAGGGGATGAATAAATACTACATTAGGTGTCTCTGAGGAAAAAGATCCAATTAGTTCTGATTCATGCATCTTATTAAAATATGCCCTTTTAGTGCCTTTAAAGGTTTTTACATTCCATACACTCACTTGAGTCTGTGCAGGTCAGCATGTGATGCATATAATCCACGGTCAAATCTCTCCTTCAGCACTAACCACTTGGTAGCGCAGTAATCCTGAAAACATATTGAATATAAGAGAGACAAATGTCGAAACACATAATGTACAAACTAAATTCTCTCAGTTGCTGGTTATTGGACATCCCTTCGCTTAGTAACATTCTATATAATACATTGGACACATTCTAAACATATCAGTGCATACCTGTGCAGCCTGTAGAAAGCGTTCAGCTTTGAAGTCTCCACCCATGCGCAGAACATCTTCTGTACAGTAGTAAAACTCAGAGAAACCATAAAACTGGCTATTGTGGTAGGGAAGTGGTGGCTGGTAGATTCCATTCAAGGTAGTCTGAGTCTCATTGGACAAGTTCATAAGGGGCTGTATGACCCGACGGCACAGCTGGAAGTCACCTGTGCCACGCACATATAAGGTGTGTGCTCCCTGCTGGATTTTATCAGAGATGTCCAGAGGAAGACAGGGGTCAAGGTATGGAGCATCTGGGGACATACCAAGCTGCTTACCCAGTAGCCTGAGGAAATATAGAGGATTGTGAATGCAAGTATGTATACATTTTCTCTCAAAGAATGAGTGTTGTATACAAACAGAAGAACAGAGAGTTAAATTGGATGCTCTGATGTAATATTTATGAATACATACAAGAATGTGTGTGCAGAGTAACTGGATGTATCTTGCAATACATTTTGGGCTAATAAATCTAAATTTTAATTACAAGTGTGAAATAAGTGTATATGCATGCATGAAGGCTCATGTAAATCACATATGCATACTCCGCAGCTGCTGATTTAGCAGTAAATAGTCAATTTAGTTTAATAAGCACAGTTAACAGTGGAGATATTTCTACCATGCTATTCTGACAAGTTGTATAAATTCTTTTGATTTGGATTCAAATGTGTGACCTGCCACACCAAACATAAGTCATCAATTGCTTTTACTGAGAGATCATACACCATACTGACCTGTTCTTTTCCATGGTGCTGGAGAAGAGAAAGGCTTCATACCTCTGACGAGCAGCATTACCTCCAAAACCTAGGAAGGTAGCAACATACACTCTATACACATGTTGTGTTTCGTGGGCATCACAGCCAAGATTGAACTCTGCCAACAAGTTCTTAGCCATCTCTTCCTGCAAATAGATAAGAAGGTGGGACAGCTGTTGAGCAGGGACTAAAAGACAAAGTCATCGTAAATATGAGTCCCGTCTGGTGCACTACAGTTCATTTCCTATGTTTAGCACAAACACAGAAAACCGAAAAAAGTCTCTTAAGATTTTGACCGGCAGGGAGATTAGTGAAGCTCTGTGGTTTAAGAGGTGAAGCAGTGCTCTTTAAGGAAATAGTCCATCCTAGCAGCAAATATGATGCAAAAGGCTTCATGTGTTTTTGTTCTGTTCATTATAGCCATCATGAATTGTGAATAACAAGTAAAGGCTGAATGCAGTTATATTCTATGATTTAGCCTAGATACGATGTATCCAATAATTAGCACTCTAGAAGTTATAGGATTACATTTCCCACTATGCTTTGCAAACTACAAAGTAACTATTTTCTTTTGAAAAAGATTAGGCTACATTTGAGGTTCTGGAAACATCTTATGGGACAAGTAGTAATATAATATGTGGCTGGCTGTAAAGCACATTGAAGGCTTAATCAGGAAAATAAAGCCATTGGGAACATCTGGTCTCATTATGAGAGAGGCTCTAAATATACAGATGCTGACAACCTGGCAGTGAAAGTTTCCCTTTAAAGATTGCTCACTGCATTGCCTTTTTAAAAAGGTTAATCCTACCTAAACTAAAACATTAAACAGCAAGCTTGTTTTCCCTTTAGCTGGAGGAAAGGAAGGGATCCAATAAAAAATACTCTCAATTTCAGGAGGCACACAAAAGGAACAAACTTTTAAACAGCTAAAAAAATGAGAAAGGAGCACATGGTTGGGTTTGATTAAAAAGCACAGAGAGCCACATTTATTAAAAACATTGATATATGAGAAACTTTCTGCAATAGTACCAGTTGCTGTAAAAACATTTGTTCCTGTCGGATTCCTTTGTAATTAAAAGCTATTGCTACCAATTATTGCATTATATTACTACTTCTGCTAGAAGCTCATACTTTCTGAGATCGCATTCTCTGATTGTACAGTATGGCCCTTTGTTTCTCTATAATATGCTACAATCTGGTTTTCTAACTTTCCAGAAAGTATATGTTTAACCTTTTATGTTCAAGCACAATTTAGAAAAAATTTCCAAAAATCTGCTACTAATTGTAGAACAAAAATCATACTATAGTTATGTATATAGTGCTAATTAATTCATTGGTGAACCAGCAGATTTAACACTCGTGTAGATTTTCCACCTATAGACACCACACCCAATTAAAACAAGTTAGAGAGTGTATAGTTGTGGAGCGCTTTCATTAACTTACCCTAACTATTTTGGGTTTCAATAGGTTTTTGTAAATGTATATATAAATGGAATAAAATATAGTATAAAACAGTACAACACCCTTCATGTTTATAAAACATGAGCCAATCCACTGACTTATATTGGAACCCAATATGATGGCTCGAATCCTTATTGATTCTTGTGCCTTTAAGTTGGCTCATCACCTAAAAAAAAACAAACAAAAAAAAAAAACTCTGGGACTTACTGCTTCAAAGGAACACAGAGAGATACAAATAGGATCTAGTGTGTTACCCTTTCGGACGGTAGATCAGGATTATAATCCTGATGAAAGTTTAGTTGGGATGTAAATAAAAGCTAACTTTCTACATTTTGGAATGGAGAAGTCCCTGGAGTGCGGTCATAGTCACCATACTACATCTTAATGTTTATATTACAGACTAGGAATACCTCTGATGGACACTCCTCAGACGGCCACTAGAGGAGCTTCCAGGGTCAGTGCTGCACACGGACTTTCAGTGTCTACACGCACTGTATGCTCCCCATAGACATGCATTGATTCAGTGCATCAGTATGAGGAGGTGCAGATTGGTGCAGCATGGCATTTTGTGGAACTAAGGGAAGGAGAAACACTTTTTTTTTTTTTTTTTTAAACAGGGGGCAAGGTGTAGAAGGGGTGGAAACCTAAATCACGGCTTACCAAATTTGCTTGAAATCTAGGAGCCACATTTTAAAAAAAATAAATAAATTAAACAAAGTTAGGAGCCAGGTTGTTGTTATTATTTTTTTGAAACTAACAAAGCAACAACAAAAATATAATTCTTAAAGAGACACTAAAGTCACCAGAACCACCACAGCGTTGTTAAGTGGTTCTGTTGTCTATAGCCTGTCCCTGCAGGCTTTTCAATATACACACTGCCTTTTCAGAGTTTACATTACTGCCTAGTAACCCCTCTAGTGACACCTAGAGGGGATTCCTAGTCTAGTGCTGCACCTATGTTCAGTGTCTCCACGCTCTGCATGGAGGTGGTGTATGTTCCCCATGGAGATGCATTGATTCAATGTATCTCTTTGAGGAAATGCTAAGTAGTGCATACAATAGCCTCCCCAATGCTTTCCTATAGCATTGGCTGAGATGATCAAGATTGATTATCTCAGAGATGCAGGCGGGGACAGCTGCAGCAAGACCATTACAGGTAGGGAAAATAGGGGAGTAAAAACACTTTCCCCATGCGATCGGAGGGGGCAGATCACCTAAACAAACACACTCACTGACAAAGAGAGAGACACAAATTTTTGTATATTTTCAATTTAAGTCCACTCAGCCTCCATTTTCAAGCGCTTCTCACTCTGCTTCCTCATGCACTGTTTAGTGATGCAGGGGCTAGAGTGACATCATATCCTGGCTCCTGGCATCACAACAGGGTGCGCGAGGGAGCATAGCAAAAAGAGCTTGAAGTTTACAACAACCTCGCATGGTGACCTGGGATTTTTAAATCTCTGACCTAAATAGTGAATTATAACTATAGTGTCAGGAATACATGTTTGTGTTCCATAAAGGCAAAGACGCAATAAATATCCAAGCCATCATACTGAGCTTCAATATATGTGAGTGGGTTTCCTCACTTTTTATTTACATCAAAGTTGGTGTTGTACTAGGTTACATTATATTAATTTATTTAGTTTCATTTACACATACACAAGCCTAGGGAAACACTACAAAGTCCTAGGGTAATTAAAGGAAAGAGCTTCACTGCTAACAATTGTAAATTATTCATTCGGATCCTGTGCAGTCAGATTTGTGCATCCTATAATGGTTTTGTAAAGTCCTGAGTTGAGCAATTAGATTACATTTTTTTTCCTAGGGATGCTTATAAAATACAAGCAGCAGTGCTGCATTATAAATAAAGTATTTTTATGGGCTTCAATAATTATGAAGGGCTATAGTCATCCAACCTAAACATAAGCATACCACAAAACGCTCAGGATTTAAGATTCAGAATAAAAGGGCAGATTATTTGTGTCTCTCAGCCTTGAGTTAATTTCTCCTTACTCTACACAGGGTTCACTCTTTTTACCTGGTTTATGTTTTATTTATGGATATTGGTATAATTTCTTAAAATGGACATTTGAGTCAAGGTTAAACAAAAGATATCCTGACAAATCAGTGGTTTACTGATGACCAACAACAGAATCATTGACTTAACACTGAAATAACTCTCAGAGTTGATCTAGAACGTGCCTTTGAGAAAGATATGTATCCATCAGAGAACCATCACTATTCAGCAGAACTGCATTAGAGAATGATACTCATCTTCATTGCTTTGGTTAAACAACTCAACACAATGAGCAGAAGTGAATCTTAAAAGTGGTGCAAAGGCCTAAAAGTGAAGCAATGGTTTACAATGGTAATAGCTTAATTTTTCACAATCTTGTCCACTCTTCTATTACAAATACTTTGGTAAAACTCCCTTTAAATTGTTAACCAAATATTGTATTACTACCTGCTATGGAATGGTTTACCTGTAAGATGTAAAAAAACAAAAAAAAATAAAAAAACACAACACATTTTCCATGTACTGAACATAAGTAACCAGCATTTTGTAACTAGAATCTGCTAGTGATAGTATATGACCAGAGGAAAGAAAGGGATGTAATGTGAAACCAAAACGCAAATAATAGTATTTTAAAATAGTTTCATTCAGTCAATGCAAAAGGTCGTAGTTTCCCGAATTAGCATTAACACTCCATAAGAAATCTTCCAATTTGCATAGGCCAATAATTCAGAGAGATCACATAATCAGAGGGTTTTGTACATTTAAAATAGGCATTTATAGCACATGAATAAGTATTCACTTGCTGTTTTCCTATTCAAACTCTATAACTTCTGTTAACTTGCTGGGTTTGCCCTGGAAGTTCTGTGTTACAGCCTACTAATCTCTGGGGAGAAGTAATGGTGTGCAGCTCTACCAACTCACACACTTTGCTTCCGTTTGTAAGAAACCTCACCAGCTTTGGGTAGGTGTCCACAACTGGAGTTTGACTCTTCTACTTTGCCCCAGAGATCTCTGGACCAGCAGGCTTATACATTTCAGGGCATCTTAAATCAGATTTTATGATCTCCTTTTCCCCCTCACATTACCCAGGAGTCTGAAGCCCCCAGCTTTGGATTATGATTTATTTAATGCATTACTGTTCCAGAACTGTAAATATACTGCCAAGTCCCTTATCTAAATACATATGTTGAAGCAGCTGAATGGGTTTTACTGTGATTTGATTAAAAGAATAAATAAAAGAACAATTTAGCTTGAAATGAAACAAGCACAAATATAAATGAAAGCATACAAAAGAGCTAATAAAAAAGAAAAATAAATAAAATTGTCCTGATAATGACCTGCTGGGAGGAGGCAAAGCTTACACTTTTAGGAACTTCATATGCAATTTGGGTTGATACTCCACCCATGTCCAGGATGCCAGCGGTGCGCTTACGCAAGATGGCCTCTTTGTCATCACTACCGGGGACATTCACCTCCACCACAGCATCGTCCTCTGTAAGAGCAGACAGCATGAGATAGACAGACACATATATAGAACACTCCAGACAGAAAGAAGTAACAGAAGGGAATTCGGGAGGGCCTCAGCAAGTGTTGAAAACAGTTAATACACAAATTAAAATCCTAGAAAACTGAAAGAGGGAAAAATACAACCAGGGGTAACAGATCTTTGGTGTTTCCAGTAAAAAGTAGTTACACTGATGACAAAAACTAAAATGAGTAGAAAAAAAACCACAAAACACACCACCAACTTTATGAAGTGAAGATTTTGCTTCTGCAAATGGACTACTTTGGACTAAATTTTGTAAGTCGGGTATCAATTCAGTTGTCATTTTGAATAAGCCCATTTTAGCAATGTGCCTTAAATCAGTAGTGAAAATGAAAGCTTTTCTCCATAATTAATCCCTTCACACACAATGCCAAGAACATAATGAGTAATTGTGATATCTTCCTCACCATCGTCAATATGATCAAAGCGCCCCAGGACAAAATTGATCCCAATCCAGGCATACACACCTAAAAATAATTTAACACAGAGTTTAAGTATCTTCACAATGTAGACAAAACAACATGCAATGAGAATGGTGTAAGAATGATTTTTATGCATGTTGCCATTACTGATGTCAAATTCATTTTCTGACTATAAGCTATTCACCATCTGCTATGAACACTCTATACAAGAACAAGTTATATCTATATGAAAGGGTAGATTAAATGCAAAATGGAAGTACTGTACTAAGACAGGGATCTGTTGTGTGTGCTGCAGACTGTGCTGCCTCAGTACCTTCCTGTTTCCCCGAGATGACCTCTGCGTGGGAGTCAGAGAAGAGAAAGTCATAATGAACTGGGATATCTGTACGTAGATCTTCAAGGATGGCCTCCTGCTGGCTGAAACCAAGAACTACAGTTAGTGCTGACTGTCATAAAGCCAGATACAAAGAGTTTCTTTAATTCCTTGAATGCCAAAGGTGGTGGGGGAAAGCATTTTTTCCCAATCGGTCATCCTTTTGGCATTTAAAGGTTTAAATCTTTTGTTCTAAAAGATTCCAATATATTCACTGGGAAATTGAGTACTATGGGAAACATAACATAATATACCATTGATTCAAAATTAAATCAACATTAGTCTATTGCAAGGGCCTTTAGCAGTAAACAGGTTCATACGGTGTATAATGTTTTAACAGTGCATAACATGCACACAGCCTAAATGTCAGAGTTGAGGAGGCATTAGTCACTCTCACCTCTCAGTCAAGATTCGAAGACCCGCAGTGCAAAGTATATACAAGGGGGTTTCTTTGTGCTTTTCTCTGGGAATGTGACCAGCAGCAAAGTTTAGTAAAGGTGAGATGTAGTCACTTGCTTTCTCTGGAGTGTTGGCAAGTTCAGAAATACCTGGTAAAGGAGAGAAACCAGTTGAAACAAGTCCATCAAAGATTCTTTTCTTATATAGTTCACTTGTCCACGGCACTTATGATGGACGTCCTGCCATGGAGATATTCAAAAACGGCTGAAGTAGATATTACAGTATTGCATTAATCAGTAAATATACTACATAAGTTAACCCCTTACACGTGAGCGCTGCTTACTAGTTCAAACTTTCCCATAGGAAATCATTGATTCAATGCTTTCCTATAGAGCTTACGCATCACGTGACTGTATTTTACTTGTATTGACAGCCACTAGAGGAGGGTGAGGGGGGCGGCTTAAACCTGCAATGTAAACATTACAGTTTCTCAAAAGCTGCAATGTTTACATTACAGGGTTAAGAAGACAGGGACACAGCACCCAGACCACTTCATTGAGATTAAGTGGTTTGGGTGACTATAGTGTCCCTTTAAGCCTTTTATTACAACCTAACCACAAATCTGGAACAGTTGGTTTTGTGTGTGGCGCATATTTTCTCATGAGATTATTATATTTATGAAGTCCCAACATACTCTGCAGTCAAGTGCAGCATTAAGTGAACCAATCCTATTCTACTGTGATCTGTACCACTCAAAAATGATTTGGGTACAATCTAACAAGAACCATTTGCACCTGTAGTTTGTGTGAGAATACGTATTGATCACAAGATTTGTTTTACTGCAAACAAGTAAAAATGGGTGGGTGGGGGGGGGATAAATTAAATTCTATGTTTTGTTAGCAAACATTAGCAAAACGTGTATGTTAAAGTGGATCCATGTAACACTTTATAAAAAAGATAAAAATATAGGGAACATGTTTTTGTTTTCTAACATTCATGCAGAAAAAAACAGGACCCTATCAGATATGTCACATACATTTCAAAACAGTATTACAAATGCACATACATTTGTTCTTAAGACATACAATAATTTTCATTTACTATTACAGCATTTTCCCCCCCGACAGAAAAACACATTATCTGACACACCCTAGAAGCATACACAGAAACAAAGGGGTTCATTGGAAATCAGACAATGTCAACACTTACTTAATTACAAGCCTACAGGCAGGTAATGGATAATGTCAGTTATCACTAGTTTTGGAATTTCGAGGAACCAGCCAGGCAAGGACCTGTCCTCATGAATCACTTTCAACCTGTATGCACATACGAATACCTGCCAGGTTCAGGCCCTTTTCCATCAGAATCGCTTAAATTTCACACATGCACACTCAGGTCTCCTGTTAATAGTGTCAATCTAATGTTCCTTATTTGTTTTTAATGTCCTTACAAAAATATCATTAACTGTGCCTTGCTAATTAAAACACCCAAAGTAACTGTAAACTTGTTAAAAGCATTTTAAGTTTTATATAAATGTGTGCATAGTTTGGTACATAAACTCTTAGATATTGCAACAAAACAGTAATACCAATATAAAGTACCGTGAATGCACCATGGGATGTCTGGGAAGAATGCACTTTTTGTTATAACTGTAGAAAGGCAGTAGGAGCACTATTCTGCAAGACTGAACTAGGAGAGAGTAAGAGAATAGAGCTATGGGAGATATCAAGGAGGATATACCTCCTTCTACATTTTTGTAGCCATCTAGTCAAAGCATAAGAAAGCAACTTATACGATCAAGGGTGCAGCTAGCATGGTGCCTATTGAAAATAGTGAGAGAACTGCTAGACTATTGGAAAGGCTTGCAGACTATTCCTCCGATGCCAAGAGACGATTAATCCCATCTGTCACCTTTGTCAGCTATTCCCAGGAGGCAGTCCCTTTCCACTCTTAACCGCTAGCAAGTCCAGTGGTATGTTTCCCAATATGATAACTGGGGATCGATGTTACGGCACCTCTGCTTCTCTGATCACGTGGTTTGATGTATATGCCTCCAAAACAGACAGGTTGTGCTGGAGACGTAGAGGTTCACTATACAACAGGCGATGTGAGTTACGGGGGGTGATGGTTGACCGCCGCGATGGCTTCACACATCTTCTCTTCCTACAGGTCCCCTTGGGGAGATATGGGGAATGTTGAGGCCTGCAGCTTCAGCACACAGGATGGCTCTGGGTAGTCGCAGCCCGAGATGCAGGGGCAGAGTTAGGTCTCTGACCCTGGAGCTTTGCCCAAAAATAGCTCACAAACAGCATTGAATACCAGGATGAACTTGTAAACGTGAGTAGGCAACTGCAGGTGGCTATCTGTAACAGCAGGCTCCGGCTGAGCAGCCATCTTGATTGCCAGGCTTCAGCCCTTCAATTTACTGAATAGCTGGAGTTTTCGTAGGTAGTTTTCTATTCCAGCAGTAGGCCGCAGTGAAGTCTTACAAGGTCTGTGTCCATCAGCTGCAGACAAGAGAGTCTCAAATTGGAAGCAGAGTGCATCTTATCAATATAAGCCCAATTTCTGTGAAGTAGTAAGGCCCAGTTTAAGGTGCTAAAAATACATTTCCTGCAGGAGCTTCAGCCCCATGCGACCACATTAGTAGGCTATCAGGCCCCCTAAACAATATTCTTTCACAATTGTTTTGAAACAGCCTACACTGAAATGGACTGTAAACAATTCATTGGGGTGTTATCCTCGTGTGATGCCAGTTTCAACCAGGAAGTAGTAAATAATGTACTGTTATATATTGTACGTGTGCGAATCCTGATCTTCACTAGGTTCCTATGGGGGGAGGTGGAATCACTTAGCAACTACATATGTCTGATCTCTCACACTAGCATTCAGTAATTGTACAAAATCAATAATTGGGATCAATGTTAAATGCCCAATAAGTTCAGAAATAAAATATTTTACAGATTATATTTTATTATTATTAGTTTAGGAATAATATGGTGGATATACTTCACTAGTGTTTGTTTTGTTTACTAGTCAATGCTTATGCATGTATGTGTTGTAGCAAGTCGCATTATATAATTCATCTTTTGCCACTTTATAAGTAGAGTACGGACTCAAATGGCACAGTATGGCAATAGTATGACCTACCAAGATGATCACATATTTTAAATTACTTTGTTATCGGTGTTACCTAGGCATTCACAATGTTTCTGGATGACTGTTAAGAGATTAAAACAAGTGTATGTTTTATCTACAAAACACTGGGTGGCAGTGTTTGGAAATAAGAAAAACACTATGAACTATGCAAGTCTAGAGAATGTGATCACAACCTATTAATGGCAGGCTTCAAAGTATCCTTGGATCCATCTTTTTAAGCAATTGAATTCCAATAAATTAACTGCTACCAGTGTTATGAGGCAAGAGGCTGCATAACAGAATTCAGTGCTCATATTTTTACAAAAGTACTGTAATGCAGTACTGTAGTATTTTGTATTTGTAATTTTCATTTTGTAGCAGATTAAAATGCATTATTTCAAATGACAAATGCAAAATAACAATGCAAAAAACCAACAACATGTACTATAATGTATAACCATACCTGATCTAGAAAAAAAAAAAAAAAAAGGATCATGTATCAAATGTAAAAGTCTTCGCGAACCCCGGTGATTTTACACGAACGCCTGCTTCTTTTCCCGACAAGACAGGAGAGCGCTGTTCGGTAGGATTGTTCGCACGAACTAGGCGAACAATCGCTACCTATGAGCCATGGGAACAGTTCAACATTTTGTCTGGTTCTGAACTCCCGAAACTGACTGACCGCAACCACTATTTCTCTGGAACTAATTTGGACAGACGCCGCATGTGCGGTCAGTCAAAACGTTACCCCAGTGGTGATTCAGCTGTGTTTGTGGGATCTGAGCGCTATTTGGACAACTTGGGAGCTCAGATCCAGGCTATCCGGGGATATAATGCTTGTGGGGGTTCAGATATATATTATGTGTATTTTTAATATTTTATGTTTTACACTTTGTAACTCTAGTGCCTGGGAGATAATTAGTTTAAGCAAAGTACACAAAATTATCTCCCAGACACAGAGACTCCAGGGCGTGTTGTGGGAGTGTTTTACTATGCTTTTGCTTGAGACCCCATGCTGGGTGCCTGTGTATATAAGTGGGCTATTTGGCCGGAATAAAACATTCCAGTTGTACCCGTCAAGTCTTGACTGATGTTTGGGTATGTGAACGACGAACCAATTTATTTATTCTCACGACCGGCTTTTTTAGTAAGCTGGCCTTACTATAGCCAAGTGGTTCCCAAACTGTGTGCCGCGGCGCAAGGGGAGCCACAAGATATTTTTTTGGTGCTATACTCATAGCACCAGGAAATGTGCCTCCCTCTCCCCTGCCAACTTTGCTGCAGCCGGCAGGGGAGGGAGGGAGAGAGGACCCGGGGGAGCTCCAACCGGTGGGGTTCTCCTCTGTTAGCCCCAGCAAGGCTCTGAATTTCGCGAGAGTGAACTCTAGCAGCTCCTGAGGCTGCTAGAGTTCACTCTCACCGCTAGGACCACTAGGGACTGCAGGAAATGTCCCCCCTCCCAGGCAAAAGTAAGCAGGGAGGGGGGATATTAAAATAATAATAATTGTTTTTTAATAAAAAAAAAATAAAAAAATAATAATAGAAGTATAACTCCCCCCTATACACACACACACACACACTGCCCCCCACACAAACAGTACACCTCATACAACCTGCCCCCGTACACACACTGTACTACTCAAGCACAAACTGCCTCACATGCACACACTACACCCCTCATCCATCACAAACACAATAAACCCCCGTACACTCACTGAACCCCACATACGCGCACACCGCACCACTCAAACACACACACACACACACACACATATATATTGCACCACTCAGACACACTACTGCCCCTATCCCGGCAGATCCAAGGTAAGTTGACAAACTATTCTTAAACAGTTTGACAACTTACTCTGGAAGGGCACTACGGCACCATTGGCACCATAACCACTACAAAGTGCTGTAGTGGTTAATGTGCCTGGATTGTTTCTTTAAATAATCTACCAGTGCCCCACCCAAGATTAGGTTTTGGATCTACGCTTGAACGGCAAGCATTTCTGCCGAACAGGGGCCCAGTATATGTTGCTACGCAGTACATTTGTTACAACCTAAGAAATTATTTTAACTTGGGGCACCTTGGAAAAATATTTAAACATTAAGGGCGCCTTGAACCTAAAAAGTTTGGGAACCACGGTTATAACCACAACAAAACATTAAACAAAAAATAAAATCCTACTTTACTCTGGAGACTAACATAGAATACTCTCTCTATGCTACTGGGTAGCTAAGCAGAGCCCAATAGTTTAATAAACAAAAAATAAAACACTTGCAAAATACCTTTTCTTGCTATACAGGTTTAGCAGTCTCTTTGCCTCTCAGTGTCTCTGTCTCCGCCCCAGCTCTGAGAGACGGATTCCCCTCTGCATTGGGTTTATGTTGCTTCCTAAATAGTGGTTTAGAGCAGCCTGATTTTTTTTATTTATTTTTTTAACCCAGTCTAGTCAGGGAACACTGAAAGTGCCATTCTGGGACTAATATAGCAAGGTTCCCTCACACTGCCAGAACAGATAGATTTTTCCTACAAAACATTTTATTAAAAGAAATCCCCCCCCCAAAATTAGACAATAAATAAATAAATAGTTACTTTTTTTTTTTTTAATCCACCTTAGGTATAAGAAGTGATGTGGCCAATCATCCAGACTGCCAAGGAAGTAAACTTGAAGTACTGACAAGATGACACTCATATTTGGATTCAAAACAACAACTTCTATATTACTTCCTATGTTCCCGTAAACGTCATACCTGGCTTTATCTTCATGACCACAGTTTTTCTGTTCTGGTCTCTCATTTGCTTGATGTCCAGCAGATCATGTGGATTGCCATTGTGGCGTGGCCAGCAGTATACAAAGATCCGTGACCCACTGCTACCGCAATCTACAACCACACCGTAGTTTAGGTTAGGGTTGCTTGTATCAGTGGCTTCCATATCTGTAACATGAGCTAGGTATCTGCAAGAAAAAAAAGATATATATATTTTTTTAATTTATTTATTACATTTTGCATTAGCATTTCTAAACACAAACACAAAAATAATATTAGCGACTTACTAATCTAAACACAATAATAATAGTAGCGAAATGCTAGTTTTTTTTTTGCCAACATACAAAAACATGAAATGTAATGGGTGTAGGAAAATCAGCCCCCAAACAGCAGATCCAACGGACATATAGTGAAAGAAATACACACCAAAAGAGATATATTAATTTGCAAGTAATTTTATTAAATAGATTAACATAATATCCACCTGGATCCTGCAGGGTTTGTTTCCCATGCTTCCCTTGTGTTTTTGCAAATTTTCCTGTTTCTTTATGCTGTTCCAGACAGCACCCTCCCAGCATATTCTAAAGCCACCTGGAGGATTTTATTATGTACCCTCCATCTACCCTGGCTACTAATTCTTGGGCAACCCAGTAAACATTTAAATGTGTCGATGCTGCTCCTTATGTCATATATGCTTTAAATATTTTTGAAGGGGCAGCAGAAAGATACCTTTAACATAACACCTAAGACTTGAGGAAGCTGCACCGGGAAGTCAACCTATTTACAGACATACCCAGGCAGCCATTTAAATGAATTTTATTAAACTGAAGGCCGGAAAGGCTATCAAAACATGCGCACTACAATCTGAAGGGCAATATGGGAACAATAAGAGCTTTTTGTGAATATATGATCAACAAGCATTAAATAATAGGGCAGCCCCCACATAAAAAGAAAAGAAATAAAATCAGCAATGAAGGAAATTAGAAATTATACCAAGGAGTTAAAACAAAGATATCTTCTCCTTACCAAGTATCCAAATTAGTATCCAATTGTAAAAAATGCATAGAAGCATTAAAGGCAGCAAAATAAACAAAGTGCTATCTATGCATAATGGGGGGATGGGGAGGAGATATGGCACATGCTAGGTCAGCTAAATGTGTTTTGTATCTTCAAAGGACACTTTTATCAACTGCTACCAGTCTAACACATTAATTTTCTCAGTGAACATTTAATAGTAATGAAGGTATGAGCAAAATTATATTAATCAACTAACACACAGCAATAGTTTGTAACCCCTAATCATGGACAGTCGCAAAGCAAAGGGAGTAATGCACCTATAACATTACATAACTCTGTAATCTAAAAGAGAGTTACATGTTAATGCCAATTGTAGCCAATGTGTTACTTTTTCTGAGTGCAAATCTAATATCTGAGAATGTTCTCATACTCTTAGGCAGAGTGCCAAAATATGAACAAACAAAAAAAAAAAATAGTAGGGAGACATAGGATATAAAATACATGAAAAGCTGAAACCAGCAAAGAAAACAATTAATCTTTAATTAAAACAGAAAGACATATTAGTAAGTTCATTTAACGCCAAACTTAATTAGTTTTTATACTAGCCCATATGGTCTATCATTAATGTCCCCCTACTGCTTTTGACTTCAGAGTATCACACTGCTGTAAAATAACTATTTGTGTAGATCCACAGGGGTACGGCATGCAGCCTTAAACCACTGTGCACCAGGGTTGCACATCTCCAACTTACAATACTAGTTTGTTTTTTGTCCAGAATTTGTCACTCGTGTCAAGTTACCTCAGTTCTTAGCGTAGTGTATAAGCAACATACATCATTAGATACCTCAAAAGTAAAGGGCAAATGGAACGAATTACAAAATATGCATGAAAAAGTTATTTGAGAAACCACTCCTAAGACAAACAACAGGTATTCTTACTTTATGCTGGCATTTCCACAGACAAAAAGACCTTATCTGACATATCAGCGTCTCAAAGATTTAATTACCTGGTGTGTTTTTTGTCTTTGTTTGTGCGGCTGAACTTTGTCCGAACCAGAAGCAGAGAGTATATCAGTAAAAACAAGATGGCAACCACTGCACTGATCATTACAAGTTGCCTGAGGGTGGTGTTCAGAACACGTGGACATCCGGCTGGAGAGAGACTAAAGTGCCAGGAAGCTGGAAGGAGGCAAGCAATGCTGAGCCTATGTTTGAAATAGAGAGAGACACATCAATTTGCTGGCAGCAATCAGGATCTGTAGTGTCAACAGGGTAGACTGCTTGGCTGTTTAATCAGACACTCATAAAATAAAGTAAAAAATAAATAAATATGCCAGCATATTCCACAGTACAGCTTAATGTAGAGGTTATTGGGCAACTGTAAATATTGCCTCAAAGTATCACATTTTTGATATATATAGATAGCAAAAATGTGATTCTTTGTTGAACTAATATGCCCACCCAGAATCCTTTGCAGTAGTAACATCACTGCAAATTTGTGATTTCTGTAGGAAAAGCAAGTCTTATGGCTTGACTGGTGTGCAGATTTTTGTTTTGTTGTTGCTTCACAAGTACCTCCAAGCCTCAAAGCTAGCCAGCAACCAACCTCATGCTGGTGATTTGCATTAACAATGAAACAGCTGTCCATGAGTGGTTCACTGGCTTTGCAACTTTGAAAGTTGTGTTTCAAAGCTGTTGTATACAGCAAATACAGACTCAAAGGAATCCATGTTTAAAATGGAATGAGGCAAAAATTTGATTCTTTGTTGAACTAATTTGCATATGCCCACCCAGAATCATTTGCGGTAGTAATAACACTGCAAATTTGTGATTTCTGTGGGAAAAGCAAATCTTATGACTTGACTGGTGTGCAGATGTGTGTTAAACATTGTAATATATACATATATATACACACACACACATACATATATAATAATAATCATCCCACATGAACACCAGTTGTTTACACAAGCACAGGTCCCATAATAAAACGAGATAAACTAGCAGAAAGAAAAAAAAATCCCCACAGGTGAACTTGTAGAGTTATGTCTCTGTCAGACAGGGACATCGCTAGGGGGAGGCCAGAGGGGGCCATGCCCCCCTCCAGTCTGTGTGTGTGTGTGCGCGCGTGTGGAGGGGGCATCAGTCTGTGTGTGTGCGTGTGTGCGTGTGTGGAGGGACCAAGTATATTGTCAAGAGGAGGCTAGTGGTGTCACAACTGGAATTAGATGGACTACATAAAAAAATATTATATATATATATATATATATATATAAATAAAATGTATTCATATTTTTTCTTTAGTGTTATCCAAAGATATATTTGAATTTAGTGTTGTTCCTACAATGTTGTCTCTTAACTCACCTTGCCATGTTGGAGAACTCCAGCAAAGAGCAAAGTTAAACAAACAGGAAAAAGAGGAGTTCACCCCATAACTGCACAGGTACTTCCCATAAAAGTTTCCAACGCATTCCACCTACACACAGATAGAAGTAGTTGGTATTAACAAATTTTGTTTGTTGTACGAAGTATACAATATTGTACAGGGATGGCACTATACTACATAAGCAACACTATAAGGGTAGGTATTTGTGGACAAACCATTTTTGCATATTTGACCAAAAATTCTGCTCATCAATTGCTAATGTAGAAGCTGCAATTTCATCCATATTTTAGAACCACTCTCTGGCTGAATGGGTCAGCTGACATGCTGAGTCAATGAATGACATTAAAATATAGATACAAATTATAAGCAATTTTGGTAAGCTGAAGTCGTGTGAGAACAGATGTAAGAACGTCTGAACTTGATGGACACATCTTTTCGGCTTATTATTATTAATAATATTTATTATTATTATTATTATTATTATCAACAGATTCCGTAGCGCTTTACAATATTATGAGAGGGGGGATGTAACTATAAATAGGACAATAACAAGAAAACTTATAGGAACAATAGGTTGAAGAGGACCCTACTCAAATGAGCTTACAGTCTTATGTACCTATAAATCAGGATGTGGGTGCCCTGGGAACCTGACATTTCAGTCAAACCATTTAAAAACTGTTTGACCAAGAATATGGTGCTTAAACCGCTCCTTTATATCACCAAGAAATGGGAGGATAACTGACAATCACTCTGTATATGAAAACTATCATTAACTAGTACACAGTGAAAAAAAAATGTAAGCCACTAAACATATATTACAGTTGTATATCAAAACTGTTATTGTTTGTAAATATATACATTTTTTAACTTATTTTTTTGAAGATAAAATTGCAACTTTTTTGGGTGGTCAAACTGTCTCCCTGTTTTGGCAATGTGCTAACTAGGTAACAACAAGCACACTGACTCCTAAAGATTAACTCCAAGCATCTTAACAACTACAGCCTACTTTTTTTGATGTAAGGAGTACCCCTGTAATGCTAAACCATTTTCCAATTTACCTGGGTCCCCACTGGGCTCAGAGGACTCTATTCCCGCTTCTGCAGAAGTTGATGCCCTCCACATTCATTGGCTTAGACTAGAGCATCAGCTGACTGCTCTCAGCCAATTACTTACAGTGTTTCCTAGTAAAATGCTGCACATACTAACTCGAGAAGACCACTGAAGTGGTCATGGTGGTTGGACCAACACTTCAACAATTTGTAACAGCACCGAGATTATGTATAATAGCATTAGCATGCTATAAAGTTTGCAGAGTGACCCATTCACACATAATGGTTTAGGTTTAGGAGTTCTCAGACGGATTCAGGCTTGAAATGATGTAAAAATCATTGAAGCTGGACAGAGTGCGATGTTATAGGTCCTGAGGAAATCATCCGTTTTTCTTAAATTGCTCCAAAAACAGTTTGAAGGCAGCACCTATGGTAGAATAACCACTACAGTTAGTGGTTATGGTACATAGTGTGCCACTTTAATTAGACTTTTCCCAGATTTAAGATTCATCATTGCACAGAGCAAGCACTGATTGTGGGCAGCTGGGACCTAACAAATTAAATATTATTTACCTGTCCCATCTATTGGGAATAGCAAAGGGGACCAACTTTAGGTCCTGTCCCAGAGGTTAAAATACATTTTACTAAGATGTAGCAAACTTGGGAGGTCACGAGTACATTAAATTGGTAAACTCACAAACGTTTTTTTAAAGGCAATTTAGATAAGAATTTAGCAAGATAACTAAATTTCAAACTAAGCTGCAGTCTTAAAGATACAAAATCTATCAATAAAATAACCTTTAAAAAGCACATGTTAATTAAAGCAGGGGGAAAAGCAACTGCCATGGTTTTGCATGAGCTAAGACAGATGATTCACAGTCTGGGCATTTTTATTTTGAATAAGGATGAGCTCCTGTATTTCCAGGCCAACCATCTATGTTGGCATAACCAGCCAAGGAAGCCCTCCCCAGCCAAGGAAGCCAGTGTGTGTATTAAGGCCCGTGTCTCTCCAGTCTGGCAGGGTGTCTGTATTAAAGGCTGCAGCTGTCACACACAGCACAGGGGGGCACTGATCCCCCACCTTCTCTTAGAGCCCATGGCATGCACCAAAGGTGTAGTCACAGTGCCTGTCCTGTATGATAATACACCAATAGCCAGCCTGTGGGGCTGCACCTACTGTGGACTACGTCTCCCATGATGCTCAGCCAGGAATGCAGCCCAATGATTGCTAGAGCATGATGGGAAGGGCAGCCCAGGGCAGCTGCCGCGGCGGGGCCGGCCATGGAGAGCGGGTCTCAGGGCAGGGCTGGCAGACACGGTGCATGGAGGATCTCACTTACCTGGGACCCGGCTCCCTGGCACTCAGCACCGGGTGAAGGACACGTCAACGGGGGAGGAGCTGCCTGGACCCGTCCCCTCTGTCAAAGGCCCCGGTAACCAGGCGGCCTTAGCAACCGCACACCTGTCCCGGTATCGCGAGAGCCCGCTGCGCTGGAGCGGCGCAAATGACGTGAGACCTAGGGTGTGCGCGGGCGGCCATGTTTGATTTGGGAAAACTGCTCATTCTGTCAGCAGTGGAAACATTGCAGAATAAGAAAGGGTTGGCAACTCAACAGCAAGGAAGAGAGGCATCAAAGATCTAAATGTGCGGCTCATATTTTTGCACATTTTTAATGCATAAGCCTGTTTATGAATACATTAGGGTTGTTTCCAGGTTAGAGTAGTCCCTTTCAAGGGACAAAATAATCACCCAAACTAGTTTAGATTAATGAAGAAGGTTTTGTGTATAGATCATGCCTCTGAAGTCTCACTGCTTAATCCCTTAAAGGGACTCTCCAGTGCCAGGAAAACAATCCGTTTTCCTGGCACTGCAGGCCCCCTCTTCCTCCCACCACCCATCCCCGGTTGCCAAAGGGGTGAAAACCCCTTCAGTAACTTACCGGAGACCCCCGCCGCTCCTCCCCTCCTCCCCATCAGCCGGCTGGGGAAACTGATCCGCGCATGCGCATTAGAGCTCTCCATAAGAAAGCATTGAAAATTCTTTAATATGGGGAATTGAGCGACGCTGGAGGTCCTCACACAGCATGAGGACGTCCAGCGATGCTCTAGCACAGAAAACCTGTGCTATGAAGCAGGAAGTGCCCTCTCGTGGCTGTCTAGTAGACAGCCACTAGAGGAGGAGTTAACCCTGCAAGGTAAATATTGCAGTTTATGAAAACTGCAATAATTACAGTTGCAGGGTTAAGAGTAGTGGGAGTTGGCACCCAGACCACTCCAATGGGCAGAAGTGGTCTGGGTGCCTGGAGTGTCCCTTTAAGGACACAGCTTCAGAAGCTGCTGTTTGTGTTCAATCGCAATTTGCATCTCTTCTCCTTTATTGCAACAACACATAGTATATACCGTTTTTTTACAGGACAAAAAGGGCTTTAATTCAATGTCATAGATACATATATAAATTCTTATTTATTATAAAGGAAAATGGCAAAAAAATGGGTGGAAAGAAACCCCAAAAACATATTTTTCACAGTTTTGGGAATAATAAAGTGTGCATAATATGTCCGACTTAGAAAAAGTAATTAAAAAGAAATTAATTTAGGTGTCTTGATTTAACCCCTTAATGCCGTTAGGGCGTACTATGCCGCCCCACATCTAGTGAGCCTAAACGATCGTTAGCTCCCCGGCCGCAATGTACTTACCTAGACCGACGATCCCGGTCCGGGGGACTGCCTCTCGAGACAGGCAGTCCCCCTGCTTCCTTTCCGGCCCTACAGGGCCCTGTGATCACGACGGACGTCACAGATCACATGGCAGCAAAGCAGTCTATGAGACTGCCTGCAGGTGGGCTGCCTGAGTGTTCAGGCAGTCCCCCTAGTGCCTAAAAAGTAAAATAAAGTTAAAATCACACACTCACACAGTATGTATTATACTTGTATAATATATTATAAGTTAAGTAAAACACCTCATTAGCATATTATACATATATAATTTAATAATTAGTGTATTTTGGTATTAATCTATATATTAATACCAAAATACACTTAGAATTACGTTATATATTTATTATATATGTATATATTATACATATATTACAAAATATACATAAAATAAAAAATGTAATGTCATAAGCGTATCTTGATATATATTATATATCTCAAAATACACTTAGAATTATATATATATAATATATGTGTCTATGTATGTACAAGTATGTGTGTGTACATGTATATTTATTTATTTATAAAAAATTTTACCAGCATGGATAGATTCATTGAGATTTCTCTCGTTTTCAAGAATGTCCTGGGTCCACAAAACATTGCATTGTTACAATAGGATACGAAATTACAAACAATACAATATACAAACAATATATATATATATATACATACATACACACATATATAAATTTAACATATAACAGGTGATAAATATATTCAACCATAACAGGTGCATTATGTGCTGAAGTATATTACCATAGATCTCTTAAAAGATTTAAGATTGAATGAAGATTTGACTGTGTCCCTGAGGTTATTCCATAATTGCGGTACTTTGTAGGAAAAGGAGGATCGAGCCACTTTATTTTCGTATTGCAGTATGCTAAATATCGTGCTAGTACTGGATCGGAGGTTATAGGAGGTGGGAACAGCCGAGGAGAGCATTCTACTCAGGTAGGGTGGGAGCTTCCCAGAAAAGCTCTTATGCACAAGGCTGGAAAGATGAAGAGTGCGTCGGGATTCCAGCGATAGCCAGTTTAGCTCTTTTAACATGTCACAGTGGTGGGTAAAGTAATTACATTCTAGTACAAAGCAGCAGAACGAATTATATAACGTATTAAGTTTATTAAGGTGGGTTTGCGTTGCGGGTGCATTCACTACATTCCAATAATCAATGACCAGCATTAGCATTTGTTGCACTATCTGTTTCCATACTGTAGGGCTTAGGCAGGATTTGTTTCTGTACAGGGCACCTAGTTTTGGGTAAAATTTTAAAGAGATTTTTTTAATGTGAAGGCCAAAGGGTAGATTGGGGTCTAGCAACTTACCTAGATATTTAAAAGAGCAGACTGCTGTCAGTGTGCTATTTGAATTTGTTCTTATACATAGTTGTTGATTTTGTAGTTTACATAATTTAGGTACAGTTCCAAAAATCATTGTAACGATTTCATTAGTGTTTAGGAAGAGTTTGTTATTCGCTATCCACTCTTCTACCTCTGTGAATTGGTTTTGGAGCACAGCCTCAAGCATTGGGTTTACAGATTGGGTTTACTAGCATAGATTACTGTGTCATTTGCATACATGTGTACAGTTGAGGATTTGCAGACGTTAGGCAGATCATTTATAAATAATGTAAGAGGGCAGTCAAAGCTGAGAGATTTGGACGAAAGCCTGATTGATCAGGGGTCAGATAATTTGATTGTTGATAATATTCACGTGGTTGCGTGCGGATGCATTTTTCAGAGAATTTTGACTATGTATATATTTATATACTATATTTACATAATTAATTCATTTTATTATTTATAATTCAAGGGACCTGCCTGACAACCCAGGCAGAAAGCCCATTAATTTACAAGCCCTATATTTAACCCTGTAACGTTCCATAACACCATAAAACCTGTACATGTGGGGTACTGTTGTACTCGTGAGACATTACTGAATACAAATATGTGTAATTTATTGCAGTAAAAACTAACAGTATTATGATATTAACAGTTAAAATGCCATGCAGAACTTAACAAAATTACTTAATTTCTCAAAGTTAAAATTTTTTTATTCATATTAAATTATGTTTCATATATAAATATTCAATATCAAATGAAAGCCCTGTTTCTCCTGAACAAAATGATCTATAATATGCGTGAGTGTACTTAACATGAAGGCTATGAATTATGGTTTAACAGACATAGAGCAAATTCCAGGTTTTTTTGTTTTGTTTTGTTTTGATCAGAACGTGTACAACTGACTCCGTACTTCAGGGGTTAAAGAGTACATAATATGTGTAGGATTTCAGTTTATTTTGAAAGTTACAGGTCACAAAATATAAGGACTAAAATAAAATTTCAATGTGAAACAATTTTAGAAGTTGGATTGCTTGTCTTGTAAGTTTAGTAGCCATCAGAAAAAAAAACTAAATTGCTACACAAAAGTATATATTTATATAAAGTAGACAACACAGGCTATTTACCAGCGGTTATTTTGACACTTTTTACCTAGCCATTTTATCGCCCATCTAATATTGAAGAAGGTGATCTGGAAAGCGGGAAACCTAACCTGCAACGAATGCTGCTGAAGCGCTCTCTGTAGGATGTGCTTCCCAAGGACAGTACCTTGATGTCCCTGGATGCACCATACCGGGACAGTGAAATAGGACCCTGAAATCGAGATTGTCCTGCTGAAATCAGGACTGATGGGAGGCCTACAAACATTTTAATATGTAGGCATGCATCCATTATCATGCACCTCATTGATTGCAATACAAACTACTCAGGGCAACTGGAACACAAGTCAGTATTGCTGCATCCAATTCAGCTAGCAGGTATGGGATGATCCATGAAGGGCATACTACTCACCGGGGTGGAGATATAAAAACCTGGCAGTTGGCTAAACTGTAAATGTAAAACCTCCAATAAAATGGTCAAATTATTTTGCACTTCTGTTTTAATATTTTCCAAATATTGATAGTGATTGCCCCTTTTCATGATTAAAGGGAACGGTCACTTCCCAGGATTTTTACTGTTATGTTTACTTATCCCTATTTTTAACACATATGCATTTATGAGGTATAAAAAAATAAAAAAAATAAAGTTAAATGCAGAAATCCATACCTATTTAAAGAGGCTCCTCTATTTTTGCGCTTTATTTGTCCGCCATTGATATAAGCTCTGTCTTATACCAGACAGTCAGCATACAGAGAATAGTAGACATTTAATCATTTCTCTTGGTTTGCAAGATTTGCCTTGTCTGAACTAGATTATGACATAATTTGCAAACATTTTTAATATCAATACAAAAGAAAAGAGAGCATCTCTTGAACAAAGTCTAACACATAACATGGTGATTTTCAGTGTTGTATTCAATGGTGTAAATTCATTAGAATTAAAAAGAAATCATTTAAATTGTAAGCTTAATGAAGCAAGGTCCTCGTCACTTTTTACTCCACCATCCCAAATTTGTAATGTGACTATTTTGCCCAATGTTAGGCAATAAAACCAATTATGATGTTTGTATACCATCCATAAGTAAATGCATAAGATGGGTTGTGAGCCAACCTTGGAATGCCATTTTAAAAGTGCCAGAAAGTGAATATTTATTGTCTCTCTTCTGCAACCCATCAGTGCACAGCAGGGGCCATGTCCAGTATGTGTTGTGTCTTTGACCCCTCCTGGCAATAAAGAAGATAATGACTTATTAATTAGTGCACTCACGGTACCCTCTGGCAACTCTGTCACCTCCAGTTACAGCACAAACATCTCGGTGTTAAGAAATAAACTTTCCCTGCTGGCTGGTGATGGATAAACCAGACCGAGTTCTCCAAATGGTCCTAATGCAGCGTACGTGCTCAACGGTTTTTAACACAATGTTTTGTAATAGTATGCAAAAACATCATAGGAATATGTGTATTTATCAACAAATTATTCATGATTATTTACAGTATTTATAGAGCCTAAAGGGACACTCCAATCACCATAACAACTTATACTTATTGCATAAGTAATGGTGAAAGAAAACACTTAAAATTGCACACATTTTCAAAAATCTCTGTAGCTATAAGCCAGTGATTTTATTGTTTGATGTTAGAGAAATAAATTGTACCTTCTCCTATGTCAATTAAAAAATGTGCACTGTGTGAATCTTCCTTGGCGTCCTTCCAAGCAGACTGTTTTACAATACGTGGTCATCTTAGTTAACAAGTCACGATAGACGTTCTGTTTTTTTTGTTTTTTCCCCCAGTCAGATAAATGAAACCCACTCCCCGCATTCTGTTCTATCCTGAACACTGGGACACACTGTTTCATCTTGTATAAAGGACACACGGGGACCTTTTTCTTTTTCAAAATGTTTTATTACAAAAAAAATGTCTTGCAGTATCTGGAAAGAGAGACTATATGAGGTTATAATCTAGTTTAGGTAGCAAAACGCACTGCTCGTACAGTAGATCCCAATGGAGATGCTGGTCCAGAGATGGTAGAGTCATTAATGAGTGTGGGTGGTCTTCTTTTTCTTACCCCATGTAGCTCTGAAGACCTCCTCTCAGAAATGGAAGCACTATGATTAATTGCTTTCTAATTGGCGATAAATAAGGCTGTTAATTCATTAACTACCAGACTTCTTATTTGATAACACCAAGCAATTGGTCTGGAATATGGATGCAGTTTAAAAGCATTGGTCTATGAAATAAATATCACATGGTACACTGAGAAATGTTATAACACTTAAAAATATGCAGAAATACCTTGAATGCATCTTATTGCAACTTGACATTTCACATTTCAAAGAAAGTGAGTCATTTGAGGATTGCAGAGAGAAATAAAACACCTCGTTTGTGCACATAATGTGAGATACTTGGCTTGTTGTTTTCAGCCAGCATACAGCTAGAATTCAGTTATCTTACATGCGACCTAGTTTCAGTTATATTGCTTGTGAATGTATGGGGGGATACATTGCGACTGTGTGCATCAATGAAGATACCAACAAATTGATTAGCATGGCAACATATTCTTTCTCTGTACTAAAAATACCACTTCATCCTGCTCTTTACCTGATTGCTAATAGAATATATAGTCACACGATTTCCTCAGTTCCTGTGATTCTTACACAACCTCCAATACTACATTTTTGTTGTTCTTCCTTTAAATTTTTTTTTTTTTTTTTGGTGGTTTGGGTGGCAGAGTAGATTTATATCTGATATTCCTCTTCCTATTTTGTTAACAAAAGATTTTTTGTGAAATAAATGTTTTAACTACACCCCAGTTTCTGTGTGGATTTACATGAAAAAAACCTGACAGCAATGGCCCAGGCCTTGACTAGTGCAGACAAACTTGATTGCTCCTTTGTACAACAGCTTTGTTGGAAATATTTTTATATCTCGGTTTCCCACCAAATGACGAAGATTCCTGCATGCCTCAATAGACCCCAGAAATTCACTCACACAAAACATAGGGGAAAAAAAATATGAATTTTGTTCATTTGTATCAGTGTGCTTGTATCTGTGTGACAATGTGTATTTGCCTGAGAGTGTGGCACTGTATGTCTTGGAATGTGCATGTCATGCCGTGTGAATCTTTGTATGTGTGGCAATGTGTATTTGTGTGTGTTTGGTAATATCTCTGTATCTGGGAATATGTATTTGAGAGCATGTATCACTGTGTGTAGAAGAACATATCTGCGTGTGTTTGTCTAGGAATGTGTATGCATCAGTGAGTTTGTGTCTGTGTGCATATTTGTTAATGCGTGCCAGAGTTGGGGCCAATAAAATGGTTTGTTAAGGGTCCTCATGATTTCTGATAGCAGACCTGTCACAGTGCACTTCCACCTAATGCCCTACAAGCATAGCTTGTTTCTTTGGGATCTAAGACGTCCATCAAACTTTCAATTGTGAGTAATCCATGAATACTCCAGCTGTGTGATCAGGTCTTTCACTTTACTATCTAAATTCGAGGTGCATATCCTCAGGCCTGTTTGCCATTGTATTGTTTCCTATTTCATTTCCCTGGACCCTAAAGATTTTTGACAGCAGGCTGTAGATGGCCAACTATTATAAAAGAAAGATCAGTAGTTAAGTTCTACAGTCTCCATCAAGATACTTACAGGGAGGAAACCCCAGATGACTGTCAGAATGGGGTACTGGAGAACAGAACTTTGCTGCACATCCCTGTAATACATAGCATGGTGAGATCATATTGAATACCTGACTATGTAGCATGTATTTTTTCCAGCTAAATTGAAATCCTAGAGAGCAGCACACTGTTCATGGGCAGAGAGGAAGGTATATGACATGATATATCCCAATCTTACTGTCATTAAGTTTTCACTTGAGCGGTCTTGCTAAAGACAGGACTGTTGGCAATGTATAACAGAGTGATTTTCGTTTATTCAGCTCAGGCATTTTCTAATCAGAGCGGTACACTTGTAGGGAGTGTAGCCATAGAGGAGGCATGTTGTATCATATCCAATGACAAACACATCCCCCCAAAGTAAGCATGTTAGTTCAATGCTCTTCCAGGAGAGCCCACGGACAAAGCTCTGCTAAGGAGCTCTGGCATGGGAAAAGGGCCTTGTGTAATGCGCAGTGCTGTGTTTGCTTGTGACTTTTCTCTAGTGTCTAACTGAAATACCAGAGGACAAAGAGTACAGTGCATGCGTTTGGTAGGTAATTGTGGTATTGTGTATGTATAGAGTGAGCTGTGTTTCAGGGATGTTGTGTGTGTAGGTGGTGCAGTGTGTGTCTGTAGAGGATCTCGCATATTTATAAGGGATCCATAGTGTGTACATGGGATGTTGTGTGTGTGTGTAGGTAGTGCAGTGTGTGTCTGTAGCATGTTCCTAGGGGTGTTATAGAATGTATTTTGGATTTACTCTATGTTAGGTATGTACTGTGTATGTCAGCAATGTACTGTCTGTGTCAGGGATGTGTGTGTGTGAAGGCTGTGCAGTGTGTGTCTCTTGGAGGATCTAGTGTGTGCATAAGGGATCCATAATGTGTATATGGGATGTACTGTATGTGTCAGAGATGTACTGTATGTGTCAAGGATGTACTGTGAATGTCAGAGATTCAAGGTGTGTGTCAGGGATGTACTGTGTGTGGCAGGGGTGTACTATATGTGGCAGGGATGTACTGTGTGTGTTGTAAGTGTAGTGTTAATGTGTTCTGGCCTGTATTGTGTTTGGGGGGGGGTGTGAGAAGTGCAATGGAATACCTAAGAAATATGTATAAATATCTTATTTATTTTTATTAATTAAAATTGAGAAACAAGTTTTATATTCCCCCCTTTCTTCTCCATACCTTTGGGCAGAGAGGGGGGGGGGGATGGGGCACTGAAAGCTCTGGTGACTTTGGTCTCTAGACCTGCACTTCTGCTGAGTGCAAGCCGAAAAACCTTTTTCTTGCAAGCTCTGGTGGCACGATTCTGTTATGGAGCGTTACCAGACTCCAAACTGTGGAGCTCTCACCAGGAATACTCCATACCTGGCTGAGGTGCAGATTGCAACCTCCCTCATCCTACCTTACCCATCTCCCGACCGGCCACGATATACTAAGCATGGCTGGCGCCCACTCTGCATGGGCTGCCAGCCTTGGCCCGTGGTGATCACAGCCCACCAGGCATTTGCCAATGGCCAGTTCAGGTCTGATTTAGCCTCAGTAACAACACAAATCAAAATTGCTATTCCCCATGTCAGTCTACTATCTTGCAACATAATAGTGCTGCAAAGGCAGACTTATTTGATGGCACTGTTTTCCAGTGACCAAAAAAATAATTTAAAATATTTCATCAGCATCCTATCTACCCTAATCTACGCTATGTTTCCTAGAAGGGACGCCCCCATTAGCTAACTCCTAAGCCCTCACTGCCAGGGCTGTATTAGCTGTGAGGCTAACAAGGCATTTGCCTTGGGCGGCATTTTCCAGCGGGCGGGAAAAAAAGCCACCCCCAAATGCCCAGGGCAAATGTCTTGTTAGCCTGGCGGCTAACTAAAAATCCAGTCGGGTGGGCGGGCGGCGCTGTCGAGGGAGCACTTTCCCCTGAGCTCTCCGCAGAGTGATGCCGGGAGCCAGAATATGATGTTAGCAGCCACTGGACCCCAGGGAGAGGGAGAACCCCCCAGCATTCCCAAAGGTAAGGAGGCTGGGGGGGATTGAATTAAAAAAAAAAAAAGAGAGTGTGTTAATGTTAGTGTGTGTGTTAGTGTGTGTGTGTGTCTGTTAGTGAGTGAGTGTGTGTCTGTTAGTGAGTGTGTTAGTGAGTGTGTGTCTGTTCGTTTGTCTGTTAGTGAGTGTGTGTCTGTTAGTGTGTGTCTGTTAGGGAGTGAGTGTCTGTGTGTTTGTCTGTTAGTGAATGTGTGTGTCTGCTAGTGACTGTATGTGTCTGCTAGCTAGTGTATGCGTGTCTGTCAGTGAATGTGTTTGTATTTAGAAGGCGGGGCAGGGGGGGGAGGCGTCTGAGTTTTGTCATGCCTAGGGCAGCACAAAACCAGGATACACCACTGCTCACTGCACTGCATAGCCTGTCTAGCTGTCACTTAACTAATCTTATCAATAATGCCATGCGATGTGGCTAAGCATAGCGTTCTGTCACAGAAAGAACCACAAATAATGAACTTATCCTATATTTCCCAGTGGGAACCCCATCTCCCATCAGTTACTCCCCAAACCTTCACTACACATACAGAGGCTGTCTAGTTGTCACTACACTAATCATTTTGATGCTGCCATAGAGTTTGGAAAATCAGCACAGAAAGAGCCCTTTTGTAAATAAAGAGTTAATTTACCTGCAATTCAGAGGCAAGAGTCCCTTGCTGCAGTTCCACTCTGCCAGCCAGGACATCTTCAATAGTCAAAGTGCTTTAGAGGGTTTGGAGTGTTCATTTAATGTCTGGAGTAAAAGTGTGTCCCAAAATACATAGCATATTAATACGAGAAAGTCTCACTGAGATTATTTATAATTATTGGCACACTAGTGTAGTACCCCATACTGTCCACAAGATGTCAGTGTAACAATGAAAGCAGCTTCTCAGCTCCTGTACCTTGCAAGGTGTTTCTACTTATAAACACTGAGACTAGCCCATTTAATACTATAAGGCAGGGATAGGCAACCTTCCGCACATCAGATGTTGTGGACTACATCCCCCATAATGCTCTCACACCCATAATGCTGGCAAAGCATCATGGGAGATGTAGTAAAAAACATCTGGCGTGCCAAAGGTTGCCTATGCCAGCTATAAGGGTTACTATAACCAGAGGCGTAACTAGATACCACAGGGCCTGGTGAAAAAATTGCCCTGGGGGCCCCCCCCATGTGTCCCCCACCACCCCAGGCCTCCATGTGTCTTCCCCCCCCTTAGCTCCTCCACATGTCTTATTCCCCCCTTAGCCCCTCCACAAAGTCTCATTCCCCCTAGACCCTCCACGTGTCTCATTCTCCCACCTAGTCCCTCCACCTGTCTCACCTCCCCAGCCCCTCCATAAGTCTCTTCCCCTCCTCTCCTCAGTCCCTCCATGATTCCCCCCCCCCTCCCCTGTCCCTCCATAATTATCTCCCCCTCCTCTGTCCCTCCATAATTATTTCCCTCTCCTTACCTACACATCATGCGGTACCCAGCCTGTCAGAAAGTGCTCTCTCAGTGAGCACTTCCTTTCAGACCGCTCTCTGCTCGGTCACGCTACACACAGTGACCGGCTTGTGGTGTGAACTGTGCTGTGTTTTCTCCTCCTGTCAGTCACCCGGCGACCGCGGGCCCTGGGCCCTAGGCACCGGCCCTGAAGGGATGCCAGCGACCAGGGCCGGATACCGGGAAATTTCCCAGTGGGCCATTGGCACCTGGGGCCGGGCAGACAGCTGTCTGTGCTAATGGCCACAGGGGGAGCTGTGCTGTCTCTGCTCCCTCACGCACTACTTAATGAGACCTTAAGCTGCGCGCTGGGGCGCCAGTAGAGACAGCTGTCTGTCCTGCACGACCCCCTGGCCGGTCGGACACAGGTAGCAATTATGTGTGTCAGTCTGTCAGTGTGAGTGTATGTGTGTGTGTCTGTCATGCTGTGTGTGTCTGTCTGTGTCATGGTGTGTGTGTGTTTTAAAAATAGTGTTTACTCACTTTTTTTTCCCACACCATGCTGGTCTCCCCTCGACTGGCCCTTCTTTTGTTGCCAACAGTTTAGACATTAATGGCTGTGTGTTGAGTTATTTTGAGGGGACAGCAAATTTACACTGTTATACAGGCTGTACACTTACTACTTTACATTGTAGCAGAGTGTCAGTTCTTCCGTGTTGTCACATGAAATAATATAATAAACTATTTACAAAAATGTGAGGGGTGTACTCACTTTTGTGAGATACTGTATATACAGACAAACACACATGCAGATTCACAGACACACATACAGCTACACAGACAAACACCGAAATACATACAGATACACAGACACACAGATTGACAACTACAGATACACAGAAATACACAATGACACATACTGGTAATTTTTTTAGCCACCCTCCTGTTTCCTACCTTCTGGGTGCAGGAGGTGGCTTTTGCTGGCTGAGGCTCTTTGGAGTCAGCCTCTTCTCCTGTCTCTTCCTTTCCCTCCTCCTAACACCATAATATTCCTCCAAACTACAATAAATATGTTTAGAAGGGGCGTGGCTTGATCGCAGAGAGAAATGGCCGCATAATCAGAGCGCTCCGCAACCGAGATCCCTAAAAAACACAGCAACAAGCTTCTTACCCGACATCACAAGTAGCAAACTGAACAGATGCCTTAGAGCGTTGCATGGAGCACGTGGTGGTGGCGCACTACGGAGCAGCCATACTGACCAACACACTCTTAGACTGTGACTGTGATTAATAAACTCTTCACTGACTACTTTACACAGGTATATAATCACTCACCCACAAAATGTAGAATACACAAAGCTGGTACAAGATTTTCTCGACAAGATAACATTGCCTACAATTAAAGCAGACCTCATCGAAGCCCTAAGAGCCCCAACAACCAGTGAATAGGTAAATATAGCCATATTGGCCATAAGAGGCAACAAAGACCCAGGCCCAGACAGCTTTGACGGTACCTACTACAAAATCTTCTGAGAAGACATGACCCCTTATCTAACCAAGGTCTACAACGACTGGAGGGAAGGGAGCACCCCATACAAAGATTTACTGACAGCGGACAATGCCGTGATCCCCAAACCAGGCAGGGAAGAGACCCGAGTCCACAACTACAGACCGATTTCGCTGATAAACTTTGACATCAAAATATATGCAAAACTCTTAGCCTCTTGGTTAATTGAAGTCTTGACCAAGCTGATCCACCCAGACCAGGTGGGATTTGTGTCTAATAGGAAACTGTATGAAAATACCAGATGAAGTGTGGATCTCATCTGGTGGGCACTCAGAAAGTGGACACCTTCTCTGGGTCTCTCCTTGGACGTGGAGAAGGCACCGGGTGCAATGGCATTACCTATTTGCTCTACTACAACACATCAGTCTGCCACAGTCACATCAGTAAAGGAGCTTTACTCAGACCCGTAAGCGCAAGTATCTATCCCAGGATCAGGGCATACCCCATTTAAACTAGGAAACAGTACAAGGCAAGGGTGCCCCCTGTTTCCCCTCCTTTTTGTCATTGCCCTGGAGCCACTTTTACACCTTATCAGAACACACCCGCCTAACTGCTGTGACCAAAGAATTCAAGGCCTATGTGGACAAGGTCTTGCTCACTCTCCGCGACCCGGCAATTTCCCTCCCCCCGTTGCTAGACCTTCTGGATACATACGTGAAAGTATCAGGTTATAAAATTAACCTAGACAAGTTGGCAGCAATGCCGCTCGTCATGACACAGGAGGAGGCAGTGTTGTTGGGGAAGAGACACGGTCTGAAAATCAACTTCCACTAACTCAAACACTTAGGAATAACGTTAACAGCCGATCCTACCAAATTATACTTAGATAATTTCACAACACTGATAAAAAACACTGACAAGATTTAGAAAAATGGGATGAGAAACCCATATAGTGAATAGGGAGATTACACGCAGTGAAAATTTATTTACTGCCGAGACTGCTAATTCTGTTCCAGGCCGTACCAATTAAAGTGACTAAAAGAGACTTGAGCCATTTACAGAGTATGATCGACAACTTCATTTGGGCAGGGAAACGACACAAAGTAGCCAAACGTGTATTGTACAGACCCAAGACACACGGAGGGCTGGGCCTCCCAAACCATTACTTATACTATTTAGCCGCACAACTAGCACAAATAGTATCATGGCAAAATGTTGCTTCACCTGAAGACCTACCAATAATGCATAAAACCCAGATGTACCCTAGTTTTGATAATACGATGGAGACCTGCGAGTCCCACAATGCAGTTCATCTTGTTATGTGTATTGATTGTGAGAAACACTTTTCAATAAAAACAGATTTACAAAAAATATTTAAAAAAAATATTAGCATGGCACTCCCCAATTGACACACACAGATGGGTGGATCTGGAAACATCGCTAATGGGAACAGATTTACCCCAATTTTTAATATGGGTACCCAAACACAAAGACCGGATCTAAGCACGACTTACCCGGCTATATTGAATTCCATACGAATCTGGGACCTCACGGCCCAAAAGTACTTGCTAAAACTTACCCCTTCCCCTCTGACCCTGTGCCTACGCAGCAGGGCCTTTGAGCCCGGGACGAGCACTAGGGACTTCAGGGGTATAGATGCCACAGGGATGCCAATACTACTTCAGGTAAATCCAGCTTGCAGACTTTGCCAGAGACCAACACGTAAAGACAGCAGCACAGACCCCCATGACTTTCTATGAAAAACTATGTATAACAGAAGCCACGCATAAAGGCCTGATCACCACAGTCTATACACAACTCAGCACCCCAGAAAAAGACACAGGTGAGCTTCGATACATTGCCCAATGGGAGGCAGACCTGTCACAAACTCTAGAAGGGGAGGACTGGGTGGATATCTGGGA